TTTTTCTAAAAATAAAAAGAAAAAATAATAGTAGCATAAGCATAATAATATATATTATGATAATATAAATAATTTTATTTATAGTTTTAAAATAAACTTCACAAATGAAATTAATATTTTTTTTTTTTTTATAAACCTTCAAGAAAGAATTAGATTCAATTTTTTTTTATAGTAACTTTGACTTTTAAATGGTTGTTATAGAAACAAGCTCTTTGAAATAGTGACATTAAGTCATTTGAAGAAATGAGAATTTTAATAAAAAATACAAATTAAATATTATTTTGCTATCTATATTCATTATTTTATTTCTAAATTATAACTTAATAGTAATAGTTCCACCGTCAAACTGTCTCACAGCGGAGAGTACGTATTCTTAAAATAATTTTTCTATATAAAAACATAACCTATTTCAATAATGTTAGAAAGTATTTATTTGTTTTAGAAAAGAAAGAAATCGAGGCAGCATGCCAGAACCTGTACATCATCAAATAAATGCTGCTCGTAAAACATTTCAAACACTTTATCAAATTTCAAAGTTATTAAATACAAATTTGGATCCAACAACATTAAGTATATGCATTCGATTATGTGAGAATGGTGTAAATCCATATGCACTTGCAAATGTAGTAAAAGAATTACAAAGAGAAGTGAGAGCTATGGATAGCATTAATCAATTAGATTCTTCTACTAGCAAATCTAGTTTAAATAAATAATTAATCATTTATTATTCATATATATATATATTGATTATATAATAATTTTACATAATTTAATGAGTGAAATGAAATCTAATAATCTAATAATCATTTTTTATATATATATGCTGATAATATGTGATTAACAATAAAATATTTAATTGTTTTTAATATTACTTATGAAATTATCGATTGTTGTTCTCCATTATCTTTAATGTTAATAATGAATCATATTAATTTTTTTTTCTTATTTAAAATATATTTTTAAAATTTGTAATTGTTCTAATAAAATCAATAAAAATATAATTAATAAATAATATTTGTAATTGTATGAAAAATTTATTTTTTTATAGGATAATATAAATCATATTTATTTTGTGACTTTATTATACAATTCGTAAATTTTAGAAACATTTTATTAAGATAATAAAGTAAAAAAAATATTTAAATATAAATAATTTAAATTGTATATCTCTATAAACAAAAAAAANTATTTTTAGATATTTTAATATCTGTAAAAAATTTATATGTTATAATAAATTACAACTCCACTTTTTTTTTATCATTGTCCTTTTTAACATTTTGTTTATTTTCTATTTTATTAATTTTTGCCATATTTTCATCCTAAGAAAAAAATACAATAATTTAATATATTTCAATACATATATAATTATTTAAATTTTGAACTTAAACTTTATTCTCTATTATAAAAAATATGTTTTAATATTTTTATACCTGCTTTTTTGGATCTCTAAAATAAGTTTGGCCTTCAAGTGTCACATGAGATAATTCTGGCTGTTGTAAAAAGTAATTTTTAGCATCTACAGCTTGTGATCCTTCATGAAATAAAAAAACAGATCTTTTTTGATCAATTGGATACCTATAAAAAAATTTAATTATGTTATAAATAACTATATTATAAAAATTATGTAAGTAACATTATAAATTAAAATTTATGAAAAAGAATAATACCTTTCTGCAATTATATGATTGTTTTGAAGACTAGTTTGCCAAATTCGCATTATCATTTCAGCTTTTTCAGCAGACATATCTTCATTAGTATCCACAAACATCATTACACTTTTACCTTTCTTTGTCATTTTTAGTACATTATCAGGATTTGACATATCAAGCTAAGAAAAAAATTATAATACATAAATATAAATAATAAAGATATATAACTGTAATATATATAATATATAACATATCATATAATATATAACACTACAATATTTAAATATGCTAGATTAATTTATAAAATGCCAAAAAAAATATTTTAAATGCAATACTTTGGATATATCAATTTTTGGACTAGGTCTAAGATGTTCTGGTAATTCATCTGGTTCCAATGGTTCATCATTTTCCTAATTATAAAAAAATTAATTTTGTTAATATTTTTGTTTTATTTTTATAATAACTAAAATAAAATTAAAATAAAATTTGATGTACCTCCCATTGATCTAACAAGTGTTCTAAATCCGCATCAGTCATATCGCGTATATCTTTATCCCGCCATGATTTTTTTTTGTTTAATTTTACATCATTATTTGCATTCACATAAATTAATAAAAATATAGTATAAATAATAATTTCTTTTCTCATATTTGAAAATTGCAAAAATCAATATGTCGATGTAAAATCTAAAATTTTTTGGTTATTAAACAGTTACTATGTTTTGAAAATTCTTAATTTAGTTCTAAAATAAAATTACTGGTTAAATTTCATTATTGTCATTTTGTATTTCTTCGTTACAGTATTCGATAACTGTAATCCAAAAATATCAACTTAAACATAAAAAAATTTCTAAATTTAATCTTAATTTAAATTAAATTAATCTAACTTAAAAAAATCGAAATTTTATCTAATTTTATCTAATTTTTCTATTTAATTTTCTGAATGATGTAATTAATTATCAATATAAAAATAATATTCAAATTAATCAGTTTTTTTTTAATTTAAAATAAATATTTTTAGATTATCTTTGTATATTATCAAAAAATATATAAATATCATAAAATATATCTTTAATATTTATATATTCCACAATAAAGTTCAATTAAATTTTTTTTCCAAAAATTTATTTAAAAATTATATTTAATTAAAATTAAATTTCAATAATATAATTCTTTAAACTTGTAAAATCATATCTATTTCATGGAGAAAAATGATTAGTGTTGCCATCTAACGTATTATAAAAAATGACAATAAAGACAATAATGTTCAGTTTTATATGATGATGTAAATTGTAGTCAGTATGTCATTTTCATTATTTGATCGCGTTAAAAATTTCATAGAAATTGGTTATTAAAGTTTGTGATATAATTTAATTATCGCGTTGCTCATAAAAAAATTATTATAATTAATTATATTATTGAATTTAAAGTAGGTTAAAAACATTTTCCTATTTTTTTATTCTGTATTGAAATGATTTTTACTGTATTGAAACAATTATACCACGCAATAATCCTGAAATACTAATTATGAAATAATTGTATATATTTTTTTAGAATTTCCTTGTTTGATGAAAGTGCATATAAAATAATATTGCAAATTAAGGTTATTTGATAGCAAAATGATAGATAACATTTCATGGTATTAAACATTTATTAATTATTGGTATTTTTTTATTGCTTGTTTGTGATAACATGCGTAAAATTATACTGCCTGCATCATTTGTCACTTAAGTATGTGTTTGTTACTGACCAAAACTGAATGATTTAAGCAGTATATGACAATTTAGTAAGTTTTTGTCATTCTCTTAATTTTATTAAAACATCTTGTAAAAGATCTTTTTCTATGATATTTGAATAAAAAAATATATAAATAAAACTTTTTAGAAATTTCTATAAATAATAATTGTATTTAGTGTTTTATTGTTTTTATGTTGTTTATTAATTTTAATTGATGATAATTAATATGATTGATTTAAAAAAAGTAAGATATATTATATTATTTATAAAAATAAATTTTATTTAAGTATCTAAGTATCTTTTTTGAATTAAAATAATTTTTTGTATTATTATATTATATAATATATAAAAAAAATAATAATTTGTTTTATTTTTTTTATTTATATTATTTTTTTATTTGTATTGTATTTTACAAAATTGAAAAGAAGACTTATATGAAAAATTTTAATATAAGATAGTTCTAATGATTATTAATTAATTATTATTAATTAAAAGAAAAAATTTCTTTTATAAATTACATAATAAAAATATAATATAATTTTATTATTTTTCAGATTTTGATATGAAGATATATTGGAATAAATCCAAAAATTATCATTTAAATTTTTTATAAAATAAAAATACAAAAAATGAATAATTTTCAAGATGAAATCAACATGCAAGAAATATTATTACTTGGAAAACTTCTGCACCAAAATGGAGACAAAGTTTTAAATTCAGTGGGAAAGTTATCTTTATCAACAACCTTATTATGTAATTTAAATTCAGCTTTTTCTTTAATTGTGGATGGATCTGAAGATTTAGAAGCTTCATTTCAAGTATGCAATAGTTCAAAAATTGACATATTTCGTGACTTGAAATTTTTACATGACTTTATACAGAAGACAATTGGCCTAAAATTGATTTATTGTCCAAACAATCCTAATATCCCTGTTGATATTACTAAATTTAGGTGTTTGAAACATCTAGAATTAAAGAAAATCAATATTAATTCTGTGAAAGGACTCCAAGATGTTAGAAGTCAACTTGAAAGTATTATCTGTGCTGGTAGAAAAGGTGTTTGTACTTTAAAACAATTGTTGGGTAAGTATAATTAAAAAATAATTAAAGAATATTATTTAATATTATACATATTATTTTTACATAGCAAATTGTGGAGGAGATGCTAGTATTGGATTTATATGGAGTTCTTTGAAACATTTAGCATTACCACATAATTCTCTTGAACAATTGGATATATCTTTAGAATTAGTACCTTGGCTACAAATAATAGATCTAAGTCATAATTTGATAACATCTGCAGATCAATTATCTTGTTTACCAAATTTGAAATATGTAAATCTTGGATATAATAAACTTGAAACAGTACCTACTTTTAGTGAAACTGCATCACATTTATTACAAGTATTAGTTCTAAAGAATAATTATATAGAAAATCTAAATGGTAATAATTATTGTGTTTAATTATACATATGATTTTTAAAGAGCATAAATATATTGATAAAGAATTTTTATGAATTATTTTTCTTAAAATAGGTTTACAAAATTTGGAATGTTTAACAGAATTAGATTTATCATATAATTGCGTGATGGAACATTTAAGCTTGTGGCCTTTAGAAAAAATGTCTGCTTTGCTATGGATATCCTTGGAAGGCAATCCCTTATCGTATCATCCAAAATATCGATTACTAGCTATAAAACATTTACATCCATGTTTGAGTAATAGCAAGGTATATAGCAATGATATGATGTATTATTATAAAAAGTCAATTTTAAAATAATTATATTTTATATAAGTATGAATAAAAAATGTCATGATTTAGTTTGTTTTAGATCATATGCCACTATCAAAATCAGAAAAGGAAATTATTGCAGAAAATCGATTGTTTGCTATTAAATCTAAACAATTCCTAACAAATGAATTTCATACTTCAATGTCAGATTCTTTAAATTCTAGTAGTTTATTTGCATCTACAAGTGAATTAGCAGGGTCAAGTAATATGGATAAAAGTTTTTCTAAAAGTAAAAAGAAATCTAACATAAAAGAAGCCATTATTGCAGATGTTGAACAAGAAAAGAAAGAAACAAAAACAGGTAAAAAATTAATTTTGTTTCTATTTTTTTTGATATTGAAATATATAACATTGTTTTATTTTTTAATTTTTATTAATTTATTAATTTTATTAATTTTATTAATTTTATTAATTTTATTAATAATATTTTTTATTAATTTTATTAATTTTTTATTTTAGAAACAACATCAAAAGGACATCTAGAAACAAAAAAACAAATTTTAGAGATACGAAAAAAATATGGAGAAGATAAATGGTTAAGTAGTCATGCTGGGACATTTGTTCAAGATATTATGGGGTTACAGCCTTCATGTCCGATGTTAATACCAGAATTTGCAATAGAAAATTTAGATTCTAAAAATATTGTAGTAAGTGCTGAAAATTCAGCTATTCTTTTAATGAAAAATACAAAAATTGAAACAAACGAAGAATCTTTAATGAAGGAGATTAATGAAAGCAATAATGAAAAAGAAAATGAAAGTGAAGTATTAAATAAAGAAGAAAATATTTCTGAAATTATATTAACCAACAATGCAAGCGCCCTTGTAAATATATCTGAACCTTTATATGATCCAGAACAAGGTATATTGTATATAAAATAAATTATACATACTGCTAAAATATCATTATTTTAATATCTATTTTTTAAATTCTAGAAGAAGGGAAATTATATATAGTTCAAAAGAAAAAGAATGCAGACGAATTAGAAGATTTATTTTTAATGATAACATCAAAGTAAGTATTTTTTATTGCATTAAAAAATTATATGTTATTTTATCATTTAATTATTGTAGTGATATTAAAGAGATAGATTCACTTACTGGAAAATTGAAGTACTGTTGGTCAATGAGTTCTGTGTTATCATGTGTATTGGGTAGAAGTGAACCAGTCACAGTGGATATAATTTTTGATACAACACGAGAACATCGTCAAAATAGAAGATATTTTGTAAAATCAGATGTTGCAAAAGTAAGAAATAAAAAAATACAATTGTAGATGATATATAATAATAATATATAACATATACAATGCTATATAAATAATAATATATTGTTTGATTATTTTACAGGAAATAGTAAAAATAATTAACGAAGAAATCAAAAAAAGACCAATGTTATTGAAAATTTTTAAATGTATGAAATGTTCAACTCATTTTTCTCAAGATTTAGAATATGTTACTCTTATAAATTCTACTATATCAGGTATATTTTTTAATAAATAATAAATATAAATAAATTACAAACATTCTATAAATTACAATTCTTTTATAAGTTATAAGATTCAATATTTAAAAAAAATCTATTTTATTAGGTATGAAATGTCCCACTTGTAAAAGTACTTTAGTTATAGAAACAGATGAATTATCAATTTTGAACATGGAAAATGATATTTCCGAAGATTCATTGGAATGCATAAATAAAAATCAGTATTCAGAAAATCTAATAAAGGCTAATTTACAACATTCTGAGTCTTATTCTAGTATTGGTAAGTATTAGTTCACTATAAAATTTAGCATGTATAATTAATATTTTAAAAATAAACGAAACATTTGATGAAAAAAACTTTTTAATAATAAAATATAATATATTTTTTGAGTTTATTTATATAACCCAATTCTTATTATTTATTTATGTGATGTTCAAACCTATTAATTGTAAAATAAATAAAATATAAGAATTATATATTTTTATGAGGTTTTTACAAAAATTAACCATATATTTATTTGTTTATAATATTGAGTTTTGTAATATTTAGTATATTTAAATTTTACAATATTTCTTAATTTTTGAACGTGAATGCACTAATTTTGTAACTGCTGATTGCATTACTATGCATTGTACTATTGACTGGGACTATAACATACTAATCCCGGTGCAGGTGGAATGGAGAGTGGAGCTATATCCGTCACCACTTCTCTGGTGCACTCCGATTCTCACACTCAAGCTCAAGTCTATTGTAAGCTTCAGCCACTGTATTTTATTACAGCACTTTTTTTATTATAGCACTATTTTCTCAAGCACCTTCATAGTTAAAGATATAAAGCTGTAATATTAGTTGCTTTACTATTTACAATTTTATATTATTATTATTAGGTCCATATTTTTATTTTTGTACTCACAAAATTGTATTACACATTCATTTAATACAAATAATTATAACAGTTCTATTATGTTAAAAGAGATTATAAATAAGAATTATATAAGAATTTGAAAAGAAAATATGATTTTTTAAATAAAATAAAACAAAAAAAAAAGTATGAGCACCTCTTTGAATAATATATTATGTTAAAATTATATACATAAATATAATATAGTTTTAATAATATATATTAAATTTAAATTATTATTTTATTATATCATTTATAGGTTCAGCCACAAGTTTAGAGGAATCAAGAGAATCTACACCATCTGCAAATACATCAAATAAAAAATATGAAAGTGACATAGAAGTACTAAGCAATCCAAGTCAAAGTAGTATCGAAGTTTTGGACGATGCATCGAGGTAATTTTTTTATGTTTTTTTCTATACACAATTATTCGATATATTCATAAAAACATTTTTTAAATATTAATTATACAATAAGTTTTTTCTTTATTATATTTATATTAACTGCTACAGAACTCATCTTACGCCTCATAGAAAGCGTTCCTCAGAAGAAAGACGTACTGCTATTCCATCTCTTTTAACAATACCTGATGTAGCTCCAATTATAACTGGTTTAACTGAGAGTAGCTCTTCAGGTTTACTAAAATTTTTAATAAATATATATAATAATTTAAATATATAAAATTATTCAATTTTTATTATAAAAATGATAATTTTAATTAATAAAACTATGTTTCTAGGTTCTTTAACGGATAGTATATGTACTGCATATGAAAATAAAATAATGAAGCAAGTTAATACAGATGAAAAATCTCTTAATAGTAACAATAAAGAAATAAAATTTACACCTGTAACAAATTTAACTTCTATGCTAGGTGGTTAGTAAAATTATATATATTTTTTATGTTTTAACATTAAACTATGTATTAACTACATCTTATTTAATGAATAATTTTAGGACTACTTCAAAGTATAAAAATTGGTAATAATAAACCATTAATGTTAAAAGAAGAAACATCACATCTAATAAACAGTAATATTCAGTATTCTTATACAGACTTCAATAGCATAGATCATAGAATAAAATTGCATATCATTTTAAATATATTTGAACATGAAAATGAAGAACTCATTCTTCTCCTCAGGGTAATATATTAAATTCTATAAACTAAATTTATTTTTAAAATTAATATTTCATTTGAATGTTCTTAAATCAATGAAATTGATGATACTTTAGGCAGAAATTTTAATGCAAAATACAAAAGAAACATTTCCTGGTTGTTTGGTTTTATCCACATTCAAAGTATATGTGCTTAAAATTGTTGGAATAGAAGGGTAATAATAAAATAAGATTTAATTTTATATGAATTTTATTTATAAAAATTTATATTAATTATACATTCTATTATTATTACAGAGAAAACCCACAACGTTGGTTGCATAAAGAAATTAGTTGGACGATAGATAGATTAAAACGTTTTTCACCAATACCATTCAAACAAGGTATTTTAATTGAATTAGAACAACCTAACAAAATTAATGACGAGCCGAATTCTACTATTATATTCTTATGCGTTCTACAAGATCTACAAAGGACGCTCAATTTTCTAGTTTATGTTACTGGTAACAAGAGCATTTATTTGATATTTAAATATTATCAATAATCGATATTCAATTAATTATTTTCTACTACAGATTTTTTATTACCATCTATTTGTGAAGAAGTTGAACTCACAGTCTCAGAATATTGTACTTCTTCAATGTATCAGTTATTAAAAGATTGTAAAAATTACCAAGATGGAGATACTGTTAGACATCTCGCATTATTTTCTTCTGCCATATTAAAATATCAAAATCTCGAAGTTCAACTTAAATTATCTAGTTTAATAGTGACTACATCTGTTTTAGCATTGTGTAATATGCAATGGCTTCTTCCAGGCAATAAAGAATCACCACATATAATAAAAGAACAAGCAATGAGCAATTTGATTGGAGTTGTATGTATTGAAATATTAATAAATATAAAAAATAAAATTATTAAAATATTACATTCTAATTTTATATATTTAATTGCGTTGTTTGTATTTTTAGGAACATTATAACTCTTCACTGACATTGAATTTCTTAGATGAAATAATAGGACAGGAGGAAACATGGATTCTAGATTTTGTTTCTATGAGTGCTGCAGAAATAGTTGTCACTTCTATACGATCTCCATGGGAGGAACTTTTTTCAATTCCTTTACAAAATACAATTTGCAAATCACAAAATTGTGAAAATGAATAGAACATTAAATATAGATAACTAGAAAAGTATTCTAGTCCAAGAAAATATATCAGGTAATTTATCAACGAATATAATTTATTGAATCAAATTGATTAGTTAATGCAATTTTGCACAAATTAGTGACTTATAGTTCTTTTATATAAGATTTGTAATTTATTAGATAAAAAAAAAAATATATAAATATATTTGACCAACAAAAATATATTATATAATTATATAATCATACAATATGACAAGAATATATCTTAAAAAACAATTATGTGCAATTTCATAATTTATATTTTATATTGTTCTACAACTTATAAAACATAATATTATATTTATGCAATAAAATTGAGAAATGTAATATAAAAATATTTAAAAGTATAAAAAATTATGAATAATCTTTTTAATATTTAAAAAAATTAACTATCTTATTTATCTTATATTTGTGATAATTTTGATAAATATTTGAAAAATTTATATTTAATAGTATCTTAAATTCTTTCTTAATATTTTATAATATTTATTTTATTGGAATATTTAACAAAAATTTCAAATGGTGCTATTAATATTAAAATATTATATCTTAAAATGATTGTTAATGCAAATAAATTTTTATATTAATAATTTATTACATATCTTAAATAATTAAATGCTTGATAATATAATTATGATTTATTTGTTCTTAGATTGTTGAAGCTAATATTCGTATTTTATTTACAATTAAAAAATTCGTTTTTATAATATTCATTGATATTCAATTTGAAATAGTTTTTAATAAAATGAAAATTTTTATAATTACATGGTTTTTATATTGTAAAGAAAATTAAACAAATTATTTTTCATAAATATTAAAATTATTAAAATGTCAAAAATATTCAAAGAATATATTTTCTTTATATTATAATAAAAATAAATATAAATGTTATAATAATGAATAATATTTGAATATTAATCTGTGATATATTAATTTTTATCATTTATCTATATAAAGTATTAAATATAAGTATAAATATAAAGTATTTAATATGCATGTATGTTCATTATAAAACTATATTATATTATGATTTATAGGAAAGAAATATAAGTAATGATTTTATATTAGATTCATCAAAGACATTAATACTTAGTTTAAATACTAAAATTAATTTTAATTTATATATTATACTAATTAACATTAAATAATTGATAACTTATTGTATTATGAAGATCAAAGATTATTTGTATATATATGTAAATAAATTCTTATGATATCCATTATCTAAGTTATGTTATGTCCTAAAAAGTTACATAAAAAATAATAATATATATTTAAAAGTGAATGCTATATAAAGCAAATACATACTTAAATTTAGTGTTGTAGTTATAGTTATAATTGAGACATGTGAAAATTTGTATACTCAAGATATTCTATATTGATGATGATAATAGAACATGTAATATGTAAATGAAACAGTTGGAAATGACTGGAAATAACTTAGTACGTTTGTTGCATACATAAAATGTCTCAAGTATGTCCCTATTATATTACTTTTTAATAGTTAATAGCGTTGTTAAATATCATTTAAGTCGTAACAATATAAAATAGTAAATTGTAAAATAGAATAGATTTAAATTCAATTAAAATGTATTATTCTATAAAATTTATAATATTGATAATAGCCAGTAAGTTCAATTATGTTCATACTATTTTATTATATTATTTATAGCTAAAAATAAAATATATTTCTAGTACCAATTATTGTGGGACATTTTGGATATAATAAATGTGGTATGTAATAATTTCTAACATTTTTTACAATATTTTCATTTTACATAAATATAATATTTCAGACCAACACACATGGATTCAAAATTTTAAATTATGTGGCGGAAAATTACAATCTCCAATACATATATCATCATTCAAATCAATACCTCTTCCTTTGCCAGCACTTGAAACAATTGGTTATCATGATTTTCTCCCAAATCCATTATATTTAAAAAACAATGGCCATTCAGGTATTATGATTTTATATAAAATAAAATGATATAAATTATAATATAGATTGTAAATGAAATGATTATAAATGATAATAAATTATATTTAGTTGTAATAAATTTTTTTTTTAGTTGTTATAAATATAAATAATCGTTTTGAAAAAAGATTACCTTATATATTCGGAGGTTCACTTAATGTGAATCAAGAATATGAAATAGATCATTTACATTTTCATTGGGGTGCAAAAAATAACAAAGGATCTGAGCATATTTTAAATGGTGTTAGGTAAAATATAAAAAAAAATACGAGTTTAATCATTACTAATATTTATTTAATTTTTTTATTTTTCTCTTATAGATATCCTATGGAAATGCATATAGTTCATAAAAATAAAATTTATTCAAATTTATCTAATGCATTAAATTATAAAGATGGCCTTGTGGTTTTAGGGATTTTTTTTCAAGTAAGTTCTTAAAAAAAAAATTTTTTTTTGAGTATTAAATTATTTTATTTAAAGATTACATTGACAGGATTACATTTATAGTTACAGGAAAAAGATAATAAAAAATTATATTCTATTGTAAATCATTTATTGAGTGTGCAACAATTAAATAAAGAAGTAAAATTAAATATGTCTATAACTTTGGCTTCATTATTACCTAAAAATATAGATATATTTTATACTTATAAAGGTTCATTAACTACACCACCATGTAATGAAGTAGTAACATGGATAATTTTTCCAACGCCAGTACCAATATCTTTCACACAGGTATCTTAATATATTGCAATTAATATTTATTAATATTTTATTATTAATTTGTTTTTAATTAAAAATAATCTGTTTGCAGCTAAATAAGTTTAAATTACTTTGTAATGAAAAAGGTACATTAGCTAATAATTACAGAAAATTGCAACAAATAGGACTTAGGAAAGTATATGTTAGAAAGTTAAATCCATCTTTAATTAAAAAATATAATAAAACGATTTTTAATGTTATGAATTTGGAATGGTTTTGGCATTAAATATAATTTTACATTATAAAAAATAAAATATATTACTATTATAGAAATAATATTATAACAATAATACTATAGAATTATTATTAAATAATTATAATAAAAAATATAAAAATAAAATATTTATATTTAAAAAATTAAATTTTAAATTTATTCAATTTTAAAAATTAAACATTCGAATAAAAAAATAATAGATATTACTATGTAATATATATAGGCATTACTATGTATATTGTATAAAATAAAAAAAAACCAAACAAGAAATAATGTTCCTTTATTATATGATGAAATATAAGTTTTATAAATTCTTTTTTTCTATATCTAATTTCAAATTAAACGACAGAACATTTATACGATCTTGTTATGTTAATAATAATTAACCATCATTTAAATAAAGTAAAGAAATAAGCATATAGCATAATGTTTAAAACTAGAACTTAGTTAATAAAGATTTTTAACTAGACGTAAAGATATCGAATATTAATTATTAGTGCAAGTAACTAGAATGTGAAGATAGAGTTGGTGAAATCAAATACATTGCAGATGGCATTGATAATGTCACATTTCTACGCAATGTTGTCTTCTGAATTACAAAAAACTTAAAATTAGTTGGTAATTCGATATAAACCAGATTTCAATTTTAAAAAATTAGATTCAGTGCGTGACAGTGTATTATTTTAACAGAAATTCGAATTGTCTGACAATATAATAAATAGCAATAAATAAGTTTTGCAGTGATAATTATAGCAATTGAGATTACGGATTATTTTTTTTTATTTGTATGCTATTCGAATCCATTTCTACGCGGCATATACGAATTACTTAGAGATTAATTGTTAAAGGTTATGCGGTATTTTTTTTCGATCGATTTTACTTTTATGCGTCAATCATTCGTTATTTGATGTTGATGTAATGCACGAAAATTTATCGTAAATTCACATTGTCATTCATTTTTTCGTGTATTTTTAAATCTTTTATTTTCTCAAAATAAAAATTGAAAATGGTATTTGAGTCGATCATTGCTGAACTTTTAAATAAAGTATTAGGGGAGTATATTCAAAATTTGGATCATACGCAATTAAAATTGAGTTTGTGGGGAGGTAAGCATTTAAGTACAAATTGTTCTGAAAATACTATGTATTTTATGTATAATATATTTCAATTACAAAGAACATACTTCTAATTGAACCACAATTGATGTTCAAGAAAATTAAAAAAATAGACATAATAATGTGTACTTGATAATATATAGTCTGATATTTTATAAATACATATATATATATATTATTAGTAAATCAATGTGACATCATATCTATTTATATTATAATTTTTTTCAAGGAATTCTTTATCGTTTATGAAACATATATATAATACAATTATGAATAAAATATACATACATCAAAATGTATTCTATATATATTCTATATATATAAAACATAATAAAATTTACTTTAATAAAATTAAAACAAATAATTTATATTATCTTTGCTATTTTATTGAAAAAAAAACTTTTTGTTGGATTTGTTGGATATTAATTATTTTTTAAGATTTCAAATATGTAAACATAAAATTTTATTTTTTTATATTATATATGAATATAAATATTATTAATATAATAAAAATATATTTATATAGTTATAATATTATATTTTTTCTT